TCGAAAACAGCCCACATGCACATTCAGATCCTTCGGCAGAGAACGGAAGCCTCGCGAGCTGTCAGGTGTTTGAACACAGCCTCCGACCAACAACTGCCTCAACACTGAGCTGTGCGGACAAAAGGGTGGGAACCCCTAGGAAGCTAAGCCTAAGATAAGCACAGAGAAAAACCCAGAAAACAAAACTGAGTAGAGATCTTGCAGCTCCAGGCTGTAGAGGAGGCGGGATTCACAGAAATAAATAGCCCGGGCAAATTCCTAAATACAACAAGAGGCCTCAGAGAAAGGTCACACGCTTTGACGTTCTCTGGGATGGGGCTGTGCAAGGCCACACAAGAGAATTCAATTAGAGGCGCCGACAAGAAAGAAAAATGGGCATGCCCCCGATATTTGGTTAACACAAAGAATAAATAGCAGGAGAAAGTGTTAAATACTTTGAACGAAGAATAAAACGACATATCAAATTTAGTAGATGCCACTACCACAGTGCTTAGAAACGCACAGCCGTAAATGCCTATATCCAAAAAGAAGAAAGGCCTCAAATCCATACCCCACATTAAGAAACAAGGAAGAGCAAACTCTACCTAAATAAAACAGAAGGATGAGGATGATGATGACAGGGGAAATTACTGAAATCGACGACAGAAAAAAAACAACAGAAAATCAACGAAACCCAAAATTTTAGGTCTTTGATAACATCCACAAAAAGGATGAACATTTGCCAAGGATTTGACCTTGGTAAAATAAGACCAAGAAAATAAGAAAGCGAAGACCCAAATGACCAAAGTCAGGTGTGAAAGAAGGGACACTACTACTGACCATACAGAAAAAGATTATAAGAAAATACTATTAGCAACTTGGTGCCAGAGAATTAGACAAATTTAGTTGAAGTAAATAAGTTACTTGAAAGACACAGATTACTGAAAGTAACTCAAGAAATAGAAAGTGAAGAGACAAATAAATAAATTGAATTAATTTAAAAATCTTCTGACAGAAACCCAGGCCCAGATGGCTTCACTGGTGAATTCTGTCCAATATTTAAAGGGGAGGGGCGCCTGGGTGGCTCATTCAGTTAAGCGTCCGACTTCGCTCAGGTCATGATCTCACGGCTCGTGGGTTCAAGTCCTGAATTGGGCTCTGTGACCGCAGCTCAGCCTGGAGCCTGGAGCCTGCTTCGGATTTTGTGTCTCCCTTTCTCTCTGCCCCTCCCCCACTCGTACTCTGTCTCTCTCAAAATAAACACACATAATTTTAAAAATTAAAAAAAATAAAAATAAAATGAGGATTTGGGGGCACCTGGGTGGCTCAGTCGGTTAAGCATCCGATTTCGGCTCAGGTCATGATCCTGAGGTTCGTGAGTTCGAGCCCCCCATCAGGCCGCGTACTGACAATGCGGACCCCACTTGGGATTCTCTCCCCATCGCTCTCTCTGCCCCTCCCCCGCTTGTGCACATGCACATTCTTTCAAAATAATCAATGAATTAAAAAAATAATAAAAGGAGACTTCAGTGTTTTCTTGTTTTATGTCATGCTCTTTAAAATTCACATCATCCACATCTGCACTAAATGGGACCCTTTCCTCTGAAATGACCCATTTCAAAGGCAACAGAAAACTCAGGCCCCTCTGTGTTCTGGGTTGATTCACAGGGCATGGTGCTGTTGCGCGTCTGACCAATAGGGGCATGGCTCAAAGCCTGTGGCCTCAGCTCTTGAGGAGGCATGAGGAAGGGAAAAAGATTTGTGAGTTTATGTGGGTGTAATTTTTCAGGTGTTTTTTTTTTGTTCTGTTTTTGTTTTTTTGCAAATCCGCATGCGTCTTTTGGCTTGTTGGAATTGCAGAAGAGAGGGGATTCATTGTTTTGAATAATAGAATTAATCCAAGCAGATACAGTGGACACTTACTACAGAGTGAGCCCTTTACATGTTTTTTAACTTTTATTTATTTTTTAATGTTTATCTTTGAGAGAGAGAGAGAGAGAGACAGAGCATGAGCAGGGGAGAGGCAGAGAGAGAGGGAGACACAGAATCTGAAGCAGGCTCCAGGTTTTGAGCTGTCAGCACAGGGCTGGACTCGGGGCTCGAACCCTCTGTGAGATCATGACCTGAGCTGAAGTCGGACACTTAACTGACGGAGCCACCCAGGCGCCCCATCCCCCTTTACATGTTTGAATGAGTTAATCCTTGCAGCCCGACGAGGCCTCAGGGAGGGGCCATGAGCATGGACTCCTACAGGGGAGTCAGGCTTCACATCAGGGCAGTACTCACACATATGGCCTCAAAGAGCTGAAAGACGGTATAAATCGGCAAGACCTTGTTCACCAGGGCAATGACTTGTCTGCGGGAGAAACCGGAAAGAACATTCACTTGGAGCATTAAGACATCACTGCATTCTTGAGACCCACACCCTCCCTGTTGTGCCTCCTCCTAAAAATGATTGGAACGGAGGTAGTTTTACCACCCCCCCCACCCACAAACCTGACACTCCCAGCCCTAAGTTTCTGCATGGAGCCCTAAGCTCCAGGAGAGCCCCGCAATGTTGTACTGCCTGCCCTCGGCATCCTGTCTACGGACCAGCAAGTGACGGAGGCCGAGGTCGGGGGGGGGGGGGGGGAAGCATCAATGCTAGCTTCTTCCCAGCAAGAGCAAAGTTGAGGCTGGTCCTGCTTCCTCTGGACCTGGTGCTGAGCCAGCCAGGTGACGAATCTCTGAGGACCAGCTGCAAGCCACTCTGACATTTCCCAGAAGTCAGTGAAGAAAACTGATTACCTACTCATCATTTGTAAAAATACGCCCCAGTTTATTTTTCAGGGTGCTCAGCACGATGCCCACAACCAGCGAGGTGCCGCCTGTAAGAGACCAAAGGAAGAGCATTTGCCCCCAACCCCTGGAGGAGCAGCTTAGGTCAGTGCAAGGCAGGAAGACATAGGAAATGCCTTTCCCCCTGTGGTTCTCAAAGTGGGGTTCCGGGACCAGCAGCAACAGCATCACCTAGTAACTTGTTAGAAATGGAGGTTCTGGGGCGCCTGGGTGGCGCAGTCGGTTAAGCGTCCGACTTCAGCCAGGTCACGATCTCGCGGTCCGGGAGTTCGAGCCCCGCGTCAGGCTCTGGGCTGATGATTCAGAGCCTGGAGCCTGTTTCCGATTCTGTGTCTCCCTCTCTCTCTGCCCCTCCCCCGTTCATGCTCTGTCTCTCTCTGTCCCAAAAATAAATAAATGTTGAAAAAAAAAATTAAAAAAAAAAAAAAAATGGAGGTTCTCAGGGGCACCTGGGTGGCTCCGTGCTGACAGCTCGGAGCCTGGAGCCTGCTTCGGACTCTGTGTCTCCCTCTCTCTCTGCCCCTCCCCCACTCACGCTCTGTCTGTCTCTCTCAAAAATAAAGAAACAAACAAAAAAAAAAGAGAAATGGAGGTTCTCAGACCCCATCTCAGACCTACTGAATCAGAAACTCCATGGTGGGGAGGCCTGCCAATCTGATTCTAATCTTTCCAGATGATTCTGATCGTCTAAAGCCTGAGAACCACTGGTGTCCACAGCTGATCTGAATCTGTCAGCCTCAGAAAGCAGAGCCCGGGAGGGGGACACAAGATCCGTTGGTCCCGAGGGGTGGGATGGGGCAGGTCCTGAGATCCTTGGGGATGCTGGGAAGGCAAATTTGCAGAAGGCCCCTGGACATGGAGGCAGAAGTCTGGGGAGGAGGGGACTTCACAGGGTCACATGAAGGTGGAAACTGGTGACCTGTCCCTGGAGAACCCGAGAACAGCAGCAGGGAAGGAGTGCGGGACAAGAGAGGTTTGCTGGTGGGGGGGGGGAAGAGGAGGGAGTGGGGGAGGGGGCGGGGGGGGGGGAGGGTAGGAGGGTGGCGTCAATTCAGCTGGGGCTCCTCCGGGCCAGGTATTGCAGATTTGTCCCCTGCCCCAGGCTCCAACTTCCCAAGCCCCGCCCCCACTCCCAGAGGATTCCACCCACCTGTGCAAAGCATGCCTGACTTGGCCGACCGCTTGGCTTGCACTATATCTGCAGCTCCCAGGGCCATCCCCACACGGACACAGACGGCGTTGCTGAGCCCCAGGGGAATCTGCGATCAGAGATAAGGGGCCATCAGTAGAATCAACCTCCTGCCCCTGGAAGGGGCTGGATCCTGAGCCAGGAAGAGGCTTGCGCCGGAGGCGGCGGAGGGGGCCTGGGGGAACAGCCCTCTAACCCTCCATCAGGGGGCCAGCTGGAGGACAGCAGGAAGACAGGATGGATCCGAGGAAGGCAGCGTGAGGAGAGAGGGCGTTCACAGATGAGGTTGGGAGATGGGGTGGGGGCACCCTCAGGGAGCCCGGCAGTCCTGCCCCCACCGGCACCATCAGACATCACAGGCAGGGGCGCCTGGGTGGCTCAGTTGGTTGAGCGTCCGACTTCGGCTCAGGTCATGACCTCCCGGCTCGTGAGTTCGAGCCCCGCGTCGGGCTCTGTGCTGACAGCTTGGAGCCTGGAGCCTGCCTCCGATTCTGTGTCTCCCTCTCTCTCTGCCCCTAACCCACTCACATTCTGTCTCTGTCTCTCTCAAAAATAAATAAACATTAAAAAAAAAAATTAAAAAACAAATCACAGGCAGACTGGCCCTGCAACCAGAATCAATGTGTTGCCAAAACCTCGTAAGTAAGTGCATTTTTAAGAGTTGAATGTGGTCTTGGGGCGCCTGGGTGGCGCAGTCGGTTAAGCGTCCGACTTCAGCCAGGTCACGATCTCGCGGTCCGGGAGTTCGAGCCCCGCGTCGGGCTCTGGGCTGATGGCTCGGAGCCTGGAGCCTGTTTCCGATTCTGTGTCTCCCCCTCTCTCTGCCCCTCGCCCGTTCATGCTCTGTCTCTCTCTGTCCCAAAAATAAATAAACGTTAAAAAAAAAAAAATTTAAAAGAGTTGAATGTGGTCTTAAGTATGCCAGAAAAGCTCCCTGTTAGAAAAACAAAATTCTGGGAAAACCCTTTGTAAAATTAAGCACCTTATACCTTAGTGCTGTAAGTGTAGACTTTTGTGAATCATTTCCTTAAACTCAGACTGCATGTCCCCAAGGGGTCGCAGTCTGCATGTCCCCAGGAAGCTGGCAGAGGCATACGCAGTAACGTGGGACAACTCATGTCTCTGTAAGAAGAGGAGAGAGCTATGGGGCTGTGGGGGGGTGGGGGACAGCAGTGAACCCCCAGCCAGGGACGCGGTCACCGAGCTCTCACTGACTCGGGTTTGCAGGAATGTGGGCCTGCTGCTAAACGGAATGTCCCGTTTTCCAAGAAAATGCAAAACTTCAGATTATGATGTGAAATATTCCCATTTTTAAGTGGCACTAATTAATTTAAAAATTCTAACATCATGGGAGTTCAGTATTACTCTCGGTGGAGCAGCTGGGGGCCACCTGTGTGTGTCTGGCAGGGCCCGGACCTAATGGGCACAAGGAGGTCATCTGAGAGGGAGATGGCCTTTAGGGGGACAGCCTGCCCCTCTTCTGTGACACCCCAGGCCGTCAGCGGGGCCGGGCCGGCATGGAGGGCGTGCGGAAGGTACCGCCATAAGATACTCGCCATGTAGACTGTGGTGGCCAATTCGTAGATGATGGCCTGGCCGGAGAGGTCCAGTACGCTGAGCAGGCCTGCGGAAGAGACACACGGTGAGCTCACGGACACGGAACAGGACTCCCCTCTGCTTTGGAGGCCAAGGGGCAAATGACTTCCAAGGGCAGCTTTGCAACAGAAAACGTTCCCATTTGGCCTTCAGCCTGGCAGGAAAATCCCACCCAGCTGTGGTGGAATTTCTTACGGGCTGTTCGTTCCCGGTATGGTTTGACTTTCAAGTTGAAAGTCCTTGGTGTACATGGCATATGGAGAGAAAAGAGACCTGGACCAAGATCAGGAGACCCCAGTTTGGGTCCCAGCGCTGCCACTGGGACTCCGGGCAGTCTCTTGTTCTTGGGGCTCAGTTGACCTATCTGTAAATGAGGGGCAAGGGTTGGACCAGGTGCTCTCTCAGGGCCATTCTCTCACAGGGCCTTGCGATTCCTGGGCTGCGTGGACTCTGCACGGGGTGCTCCGGGGAGCACAGGCGCGTCAGGTGAGAGCCCCCCACGCCTGCCTGGCCCCTGCACGCTCACACCCACGTTGGTTCCGTCCCTCGCTTCCCCCACTGACTCCAACACCTGCCCAGGACCAGGCCCAGAGCCATGCTGGGTTCCTGACATGAAGTGCCCAGGCCTACCTTCTGGGAGCGCACAACCTGGAGAGAGCAACAGCCCCGACCTGGCCGAGGCCGCCAAACCACCCATCCGGAGAGGGGGCTTCCGGGCTGCCCACACGGTTCCCCGAGCCGCGCGCCTCTACATACCCATGAGGAAGCTCCCGATCTCGTAGGCCCACCACTCCATGCACACCATGAGCATGCTGGGAACAGCCAGAGAGAAGAAGGGGCCCCAGTCCTGCAGGCACTGGCCGGACCAGCCTAGGAACAGAAGCCCCGCTGGAGCGCGGCGCAGGGAGCCCATCGCGCACGCGCACCCACTGCCCGGAGCCCCTGCCCGCCCTTGGCTCCGCCCACTCCCGGGCTCAGCTCCGCAAGCCCAGGCCTCCTGTGTTTTGCCCAGGGTGCACCACGGGGTGGCTCGGGATGGGAGCCTCAGGCGTGGGTGAGGGTCGCCCGCTCCACCCGTGACACCACGAGATCTTGGGCAACTACCCTGCTGTTTCTGGCCTCCATTCCCTCCTCTGAAAATCTGAGTTCTTTGCCCAGACGCCCCAGAGGGGTTGCTGGGAGGATGGCATGAGGTCAAGGTCAAAGGATTGGATTCTCGGGGCAGATAGGGCCGTGCGGACAGGGAGAGCAGAGTGGCCATACAGGACTCCCTGCCCTGTGAATGAGGCCCCGTCCGGAGGGGCTGGTCCACAAATGCCCGAAAGCGGACCCCGAAATCTACAGAGTTAGCTTTCAGGAGGCAGGAAAGCTCAGAACCGGGAGTACATGGGCACGGGTTCGAGTCCAGCCCCACCGGGCGCCGCCTCTGGCGTTTTGAGCAAATTGTTTACCCTCACTCCATCTCCTCCAGGTAAGTAAAATGGAGATTATAAGGTGGTGTGGAGTAACCGGGGATCGGAAATGTCGAGCACTCGGCCCACTGCTGACACCTAGGGTTTTACCTGCGATCAGGGAGCTGGCCAGAGAGCCCCCTGGGGGCTGTCCCCAGCAGGGCTCTGCACCGTATCGCATTGGATGGGGGGCACCTGGGCCTTTGGGGGTAGGGGTGCTGAGGGGTAGAGCAAAGGGGAAGGAGCCCCTGAAGGGAAGTGGAGGCAAGCCCGAGACAAGGCTCCTCCAAAGGGGCTCCCACCGGGCCTTCCGTCCACCTGCCAAGTGAACACCCCATGCCCGAGCCGGGGTCCTGCCTGCCGCTGGTCTGCTCAGCCCCCCAAAGGCAGGGTGGCCCCCACACCTGCCCACGTCTCCAGGTGTAGCTTCTTCAGCACAATGTAGAGAAAGAGGAAGATGGTCTGCAGGATGTGGGAGATAGTGTTGGCGTAAGCAGAGCCCCTGGGAAAGGAGAGAGAGCTGAGCTGGGGCCAGGGGCCGACTCTGGCCCTGGGGGCAGGGGACTTCTCCCCTGAAGCCAGCATGGAAGGGAAGGGGGCCCAGGCATGGGCAGCCAGCACCCCCATCCAGAGATCAGCCACACCCAGGAACCTTAGTACAGTGTCCCTGAGTCCCCCTGCCAGGTCCCAATGCTCGGCCTCTCCTGGGGGGCTGGGGCAGGGATGAGGAGGGCTCCTCTCCTTGTCTCCTTGGTGGGGAGTCCCCCAGAACTTGAGGGACCAGCAGGGCCCCCAATTCCTCATGACACCCCACTTCTGGACGGCAGGGGCAGCCTCTGCCCTTTTGGCAAGGCAGGGATCGCAACTGACCTGCCCCCGTCAGGGGTGGGTGCCTGGTGGGCCCCTGCAGCCCAGTGGTCCCGGTGCTCACCTGACTCCCAGGCTCAGCACAGAAACCAGGATGTAGTTGCCCAAGCCATTGATACAGTTGCCCACAATGCCACTGAGGACTTGGGGCCAGACGATTCCCTGAAATAAACAAACACTGGCCTTGCTGGGGCGGGGGGCAGGGCCAGGGGGTGTGGACAAGCCCGGGGACGTCCAGGGGTTGGCAAGAGGCTGGGGACACGCGGCTCCTTACTGGGCCTTGGTCAGTAGGTTCACAGAGGGTGCCGAAAGGGGAAAAGCCCCAGGCACCCCTTCTCGCTGGAATGGGGCAGTGTGTTGGGGCAGGGGTCGCCCCTCTGGCCAGGGACCCGTACCTGATTTTGCAAATATTTTGCCAGCAGGCTATAAAGAAAAAACGCCTGTGTAAAATAAAAACAAAAAACCAGACACACACATAAACAACGACTACCAAAAAAGCAAAACAAACAAGCACATGATGAACATCAGGAGGTATTTCCCTGGTACCTGAGTGAGGGGCAGTTATTTCATCCAAATAGGTCTGGGACCCCAAGAAGCCCACTTAGCATCTCAGGTGCACTCTGGCCCTGCCTATGGGGAGAGGCCCCCTCAAGGCTCGGGCTCCACCGCAGACGAGATACGCAAGCAGCGCTGGCTCTCACAAGGCTTGTGTAAGAGGCCCAGCGCCTAACAGGCCTCCTTGCTGCCGGCTTGGACCTTGCATCAGCTCAGGAAGGCCACCCAGGGGCCCGTGCACAGAAGGGCCCATCAGAGTCCAAATCCACGGGTTGTGACTGCCCTTGAGCCTGGCTCTGGCTGCTGGAACCAAGAATCTGGAGGGAGAGGCCTTGGGCTGGGCAGGGAGATGGGGACCCGGCAGTGTGGCCACCGGTAGGCCCTGCTGAGGGGGTTCAAGCCCCCATGGGGTGGCAGGACCTTTCCTGTCCGTGGAGGACAGAGAGGGCCTGCGTGTCAGTGTGTGCGTGTTAGGGGTGCTGCCCCTGCCCTTTCTGTCCTCTGCCAAAGCCTGGCCCAGGGCCTGCGCCCTGCTACCCCACCCCTTCCCTTTGCTTCCCTTTGCTTCCTTTTCCCTTCTGCTTCTCCTCAGTATAGCACGGGGCTTAAGAGCACGAGCTGGAACAGACTGCCTGCGTCCAAGGGTTGGCTCTGCCTTTTACGAGCTGTGCGATCTTAGGCAGGTCACTTAACCTCTCTGTGCCTCAATTTCCTCATCTATAACGGGGATGATAATGTGTGTATGCTATGTATCCATATATATTTAAAGTTAATATCAGAAAATGCCTATAAAACAGTATATGGCCCATTTAAGCATTCCAAATGTTAGATAAGCGTTATGTAAATCCTGTTTGTCATTTTTATTATTACTTTACTGGTAAGTTTTACAGCCGCATTTTAAGGCAAGGACTTGCTTTAGTTGGTAAAGGCGTTGCCACAGTTTTGACGCTCTAGGAGGTTTCTCCCCTGACCCAGCCCCGGTGGCCCTGTTTGGCAAGATGCCATCACCTTGGTCTGAAGGGCTGAAGTGTGTGCTCTAGCAAACCCTTGGAGGAGACAGACTGGTCTTTGCAGGTGGTTTCCATAATACAACGGAAATCTGGACCTGACCAGACCCCAGAGGGGTCATGGCACTGGCCTCTCAGGCAGGCGGGTGCGGCCGGGGTTCCTCCTGCCAGGCCTTGGCGTGCTTTAAAGCACCCCACCTTGGGGCGCCTGGGTGGCGCAGTCGGTTGGGCGTCCGACTTCAGCCAGGTCACGATCTCGCGGTCCGTGAGTTCGAGCCCCGCGTCAGGCTCTGGGCTGATGGCTCAGAGCCTGGAGCCTGTTTCCGATTCTGTGTCTCCCTCTCTCTGCCCCTCCCCCGTTCATGCTCTGTCTCTCTCTGTCCCAAAAATAAATAAACGTTGATAAAGCACCCCACCTTCACCCTTCCCTGACCGGTCCTCCAGCACCCCACCCCCTGGCGTCATAGAGGGTAAAGGGGAGCTGTTGTTCCAAAGACACAACACTGCCAGCTAGTGACACGTGTCACTGAGTCAAGAAATCAAATAGAGTAGCAATGGATTCCAGAGCAGACATACAGGCCACAGGGTCAGGTGAGAAATCTCAGAAACTGACCTGACTAGATGCATTGCTTAGCTGGGATTTAACGAATTAGTGGAGAAAGGGGAGAACAGGCAATAATTAGTCTTAGTTATAAGTGTGTTAGGTAGATTAGAATCTTAAGTGTAAAAATAAAAGCCACGAGAGGGCTCAAAGAAAATATGGGCAAAATGTTTCTATAATCTTGCAATGGGTTAAGTGGTTTTAAGTTCATCAAAGACTTCATAAAGAATAGGATTTATGGGTCTGTTACATATACATTAAAAATTCCTGAGGTCAAGGGGCGCCTGGGGGGCTCAGTCGGATGAACATCAGATTCTTGGTTTCCGCCCCGGGGCATGATCTCACGGTTCATGGGTTCGAGCCCCACATGGGGCTCTGAGCTGACCGTGTGGCACCTCCTCGGGATTCTTTCTCTGCCCCTGCCCTGCTTGCTCTGTCTCTCTCAAATAAATAAACTTAAAAAAAAATTGTTTTTTTAATTCTTTAGGTCAAAAATATCAAAAAATTAGAAGGCAAGTGACCAACTTTAAAAAAAAATTAACAGGCAAAGGGTTAAGATACTAGTTAACAAGAGTTATAATAATTAGGAAAAGATTAACCCACTAAAAAAGGGTCTGGACAGTTCTCAGAAGAAAAACAAAATGATGAAAAAAATACATGAAAAAAAGGTTCATTAGCAATAACACGCACGTGAAAACTGTTTCTAGTTGGGAAAAAATTAAAAAAAAAATTTTTTTTTTCTAATGTTTCTATTTGAGAGAGAGAGAAACAGAGCAAGTGAGGGAGGGGCAGGGAGAGGGAGACACAGAACCCGAAGCAGGCTCCAGGTTCCAAGCTGTCAGCAAAGAGCCCCACGTGGGGTTTGAATCCACGAATGTGAGATCACGACCTGAGCCGAAGTCGGACATTCAACCAACTGAGCCACCCAAGCGCCCCGCGAAAAATATTTGAATAATAGTACACTGACAAGAGTGTTGCTAGTGGGGGTAAAATCTGTACAAGTTGGTATCAGAAGCCATTGACAGAAGACCAATTCCCATGATGCGCCTGAAGGGAATCGTTACAGATACAAAGACTTTTCTATAAGAACGCTTAGCACGATCTTCTTTCCGATAGTGAATATTGGAAACAACCTGAATACCTGACAAATTAGGATTGGCTGATAAATCATGACACTGTAGGATAGTGCATAGCCTCCGAAATGGATACTGTGGGAGGCTATTTAATCGTATCGAGAGACTAATATCAGGGGAAAAGCAGGTAATAACACAATATTACGCACATTGACCCTCTTTCA